GTGTTTGGAACTGTGCCAAGTTCCGGGCAGCCGGCTTCGGGCTGAGTGGAAGATTCCCTACCTCCTGCTGCTCTCTGTACTTCCCAACGAAGCATGAACTTCCCCCAAATGAAACCGAGTCTGCAAAGGCTTGAAGCATTTCCCTATTTTAATGTTTGCCTTTGAGCAAAAACGTATTTTACAAAACCCATTTAAAAACCCCCTATAACCCAAAGGCAAAAGACACAACTTTTAAGGTGATGAGAAACCACACTGTGTACCTGGCCTGTGTGCTCTGTGAGTCTCTGTAAGATCCCAATCCCAGGGGAAAACTTCCTCCCATGAAGGAGGCGATTCAATCACATCTTCTGAAAATGGGCGTTTTTCTGTATCGTGCAGAATAAACCCAAGTGACGGTTTCGGTTTTAATCACGCTTTTTAGAGATCAAATACGACGTGAACAGCATTTCTAATGACTGAGCAGCATTTGCTGGAAGTGCAAGCTCGCTGTGTAAGCGGGAACCCCTTTCCGCCTGCCGGGCCGCCCCCTGCCACCTGCACCCGTGAGCACGACCTGAGAGGCACCTGCACACACCTGCTCAGCTGGACGCGACGACCAGCCTGCCCAGACCCCATGCCCTAAGCCGGCGGTTCTCAACCTTCCTAATGCCGCGGCCCTTTAATACAGTTCCTCATGTGGTGGTGACCCCCAACCACAAAATTATTTTCGTTGCTGCTTCATAACTGTAATTTTGCTACTGTTATGAATCGTCATGTAAATATCTGATATGCAGGATGTATTTTCATTGTTACAAATTGAACATAATTAAAGCACAGTGATTAATCACAAAAACAATATGGAATTATACATGTTTTTCCGATGGTCTTAGGAGACCCCTGTGAAAGGGTCGTTTGACCCCCAAAGGGGTCGCGACCCACAGGTTGAGAACCGCTGCCCTAAGCGAAGAGAGGAAGTATTCAACGTGTGCCCAGTGCTCACAGAAGGAAGACAAAACACGCGCTCACCCCACAACACCTGCGTGGAACCCCACGAGCACATTTCTCGGGAGCCCACGGTGCCGAGCTCGGCCTGGAGGGACCCAGAGGGACCGGCCCAGAGCCAGGACCTGGAGGGACCTGGAGGGACCTGGAATGACCTGCAGGGCCCGGCCCAGAGGGAGGACCTGGAGGGACCGGCCCAGAGCACGCGGGCCTGGAGCCCGGGAGGCCCACGCGGAGCCCCGATGAGAGTGAAGGACACAAGAGCTCGCTCCACAGCAGGGCGTGTGCGGGACGCGACCAACAAGAACCGAACCACCGCCTGAGGAGGTCACAGGAAAAAGGGGGGAACCGACTGCAGGGACACAGCCTGGATGAAACGACACGCTGAGAGGCCGACGTTCTACCCCATGAGCTCGAGGCAGGTGCTGAGCAGCCGCAGGCCTGGTGGGTCAGCACAGCCTCTCCACAGCGTGTCCCCCACACGGGCTGCGTGGGGACGAGCGTCTGCGTGGACACGCCCTGCATCACGGGGAAGCCGCGTGCCATGCCGAGGAACATACGCTGGGCCCCTGGTCTGACCTGCTCACAGGCGGCACGTCCAAGAAACCGGCCGCTCGGTGTCCCCCCGGCCGTCCTGGCGAAGGACAGAGTGACCGACGGGCTCCTGACCCGGCCTCGGTCTCTGCTCTCTGCCTCTCTCATCCGTGTCTGTCCCACGACCAAATTCCCCTGAGTTAGAAACATCTCTAGAGCTGGAGGAGGCGCCCCTGAGCCTGCTGACCTCGGGGTGCAGGGAGGAGGGCGCCCCTGAGCCTGCTGACCTCAGGGTGCAGGGAGGACGCCCCTGAGCCTACTGATCTCGGGGTGAAGGGAGGAGGGTGCCCCTGAGCCTGCTGACCTCGGGGTACAGGGAGGACGCCCCTGAGCCTAGGTCTCTGCTCTCTGCCTCTCTCATCCGTGTCTGTCCCACGACCAAATTCCCCTGAGTTAGAAACATCTCTAGAGCTGGAGGAGGCGCCCCCTGAGCCTGCTGACCTCGGGGTGCAGGGAGGAGAAGGACACCCTAAGCCTGCTGACCTCGGGGTACAGGGAGGAGGAGGGCGCCCCTGAGCCTGCTGACCTCGGGGTGCAGGGAGGAGGGCGCCCCTGGGCCCGCTGACCTCGGGGTGCAGCATACCAGGGCCAGGGCACCCAGGTCACCTCTGCGACCACGGCAGCCACAGTCCCCGCTCCGACACGAGAGACCAGGTCAGTTCACCCCGAGGAAGCGGACGGGGACCTTGTCTTGTCGGTGGCGGCGGCTGCGCTGAGTCACTGCGGTGACTGACCTGGACGGTGCTGGGGCTGCAGCTGGGACGGCCGGACACCCGGGCAGACAGGTGACGCTGTGACAGACAGGGCTGTGCGAGGGCCTCGCGTTTGGCAGCGGTTCTGTTTGATGCAGGTCATTTAATACTGACCGTGTGCCGAGTGAGCCGTGGTCCCAGGCCTGGGCTACACGGTGACACCACCCGCACAGGAGCGAGGCCACGGGAACTCGGGTTCGGCCGCGCCTCCAGACACCCCACAATTCAGGGTGACGCGGCCGAGCTCGCGGCCCACGGGCCTGAACCCACTGAGGAATCAGCAGCTGAAATGCGTTCCTTTTGGGTCAACGCACGATGCCTTCGCGCTGCTGTCAATCCCCCTGCGAAGCCCCTAACAGCTGCGAGGACACCTACTACCTGTTACCACTTCCGACCGGCTGCCTCCCGCAAGCGCCTGACCGGGCTGGGTTGGAACCCGCAACCCAGGTACGTGCCCCTGACCAGGAATCGAACCCACAACCCTTTGGTGCAGGGCCGGCACTCTAACCACTGAACTCCACCGGCCCGGGCCTTCATTCACATTTAATACCTAAGGGCCCGGATCAGACAGGGACCTGCTCACGGAGGGGACTGGGTTTCATTAAAGCAAAGCCACTCCCACTCGGCGTCCGTCTCCCCATCTCCACTCACCAGCCGTCTCCCCACATTCTGCTCACACCCCACAGCGATGGCTGCGTCAGGAACCCCTCCAGCTCGTGTCCTGACCACGTGGCCGAGTGGCCCAGGCGTCACAGACTCGCTCCCAGCAGGAGCTCGATCCCTGGCCCCAACCCCGCCCCCCATAAGGGGACGGGTGGGCTCTGTCCTCCCGCCTCCAGCAGCGTTTCTGCTCAGATAACCACCCCTACGCCTCCCGAAAACCCAGACCGACCGGGAACCCCTCCGGACACGGGTCCCGGGACGCGCGGGCCTCACCTGGGGCAGCGGGC